TAGCTTCGTTCGTGTTTGAGAAATTATCTATTTCGTTTCAAATATATTGTTATTTTAAAAGAATGACTACTGCTTCCAGATAATTAAAAATCTTGCGCAAAAAATTACACTACCTCTTTATAAGATTACCAGCCTTTGTTATATATAATTCCACAAAAGACGCTGTAATTTCGCTCGGCAGGATAATACCAATACGGAGGCACAATTTGAATAGACAAGGAAGCAATATAAAATTTCGGTTGGGTTTATGTTTTTTGAAACACCGAATTCACTAGGGAGGCTTACTCAGCGACTGGCACCCAGCGTGTGAAGACACAAAGCCATTTACCATTTTCTATGCATTTTTTGCCAAGAAAATTTCCACACAGCAAAGTCGTAGAAAACTATAAGAATTGAGAACTAAGAAATGTAAGGCAAACAAAAGGTAAATATCATTCAAACGCTGTGCACATGGCAGTGACAGGCAGTGAGCACTGAGCACACAAAGCTGAAGGACCACTTGCACAATGGACACAGACCACTACATGTGCAGCCAAGTGTGTGCGAGTTTGCATGCAATCGGCAGCTAAGCAATGAGTAAGGATCAACCGCAAAAGAACAGCAAGGAAGCTACACACTACTAACCGATTATAAGAATTTCTATTGTGTTATAAGCCAAAGTAGGTATGTTTGTGTGCGCGTGCAAATGTTTTTACAGCTATTTGTTACGCTTGCAGTTGCCCGCTTGCCATTTGCATTATTGTGTCATTTAACTGTTTACAGTGTCTGTCATTAGCACAAACACTAAGAACAGCAAGAAGGCATGAAAAGGCGAAGAAAGGAGCTAGAAGACAATATATTTTCTTACAAATTGTTTACTTTTTATTTAAGAAAAATACCAGGGCTACCACATAGCAACCTACACGCTACTGTCGTTGGCTATTGCCTTGTATTGAATGTGCTTGCAGCGCTGTGTTCCGGCAGGACGTGCATAAAAAATTGAGTGTATAGTTGAATGGAAAATAAGGAAGCTGACAGCCAGGTGTGTGTGGTGTAGCAAGCGTTTATGTAGGTTAACCTGCTGTCCCCCGCAGCAATAGCAGCAGCAGCAGCTAATGAATCGCCCTATAAAGTATAACCGATAATGAGGCAAGCGTTGTACTCCGACTGCTAGGCGTGCTCTGGCAGTGACTGATATGACGAAGGCTCCTTGTTGTCGCCGCTCAATGAATCGCTCGTCTGTGAAATATCGCCAGTGGGTTATAGCTGTATGTGTACAAGAGTGTATATATATCGGCAGCATGTAATTCATTGTCAGTTGCATGCATTGTTTTGACCTGATTTGCATGTCTATGAATGTGTCACTCATCTATTTTGCCGTCCGAACGTCTCATGCGCTCCTGCAACCATTGGGGGTCATAGCAATTATTTTGCCTTGTAAGCAAAAGTTCATTGTTAATTGACAGTCGCCGAGAAGGCAATGAAAAGCACAGCCAGCGCGCGCTTTAAACAAGGCCACTTATATAAGCAACAGCACAAGGTACAACAACAGCTTGCACAAGAAAATTGTTGCTACAATAGCAGACAAGTAGGGGTAAGCATAGGCGTAGACAAAAGGCTAACGCTAATGAGACGTTGTGGCGCTGCGTTGAAAGCACGAGCAGCAGCAACAGCTAAGTGCCACAGCAGCAGCAGCAAAATCTTGTTTATGGCAAAAGTGTGTCATGACATTTTGTGACGTAAGATCAATGGTGGGTGGTTGGGCGACTGGCTGGCGAGTGAAGGCGCTGGCGATGGCACCTACTGTCCTTATATATATATATATATATATATATATGTGTGTATTCATATACAGCCGTTGTTCTGTATTCAACTGCTTAATTTACATTTACATAGCCGCCATTTTCTTTCAATTATTTATATAAATTATTGTCTTTAATTAGTTGCTCAGCTCATTAACTGCTGTTGACTTGGCAGTTTGGCAGTTCAAGACTTGTTTGCTTTCTTCTTTTGTTAAATAAATTCATTGCAATCAGTTGCATATTGATACAATGGGCGAGTGTTGAAAGTGTTGGCGGAGTCAAAACTTTAATTACAGCTTTTACTCGCACAATTTAGTATTGTTTATACCTATATATATATTATATATATATATATGAATATTGAATGTGTAAAGGCTCTAATTTATACTTTAAATTTTGCAGAGTGGCATGTCGAACACACAATTGGTTTAGGAATAGAAATAGTAAGAGATTTTATCACTTTAATGATATATTCTTCATTAAACTGGATATATTTGAACTGTTGCCTTTTCTGTCAATGATTGGGTAAAAAGTATTAAAATTTGGTAAAGAAAGAAGCTTGAATTCACCTCATATTGGAGAGCGCAGAGGTGTCAACGACTGGGTTCGTTATCTACTCCAGCCCTCTTTGAGCAATGAAAAACTACTGTGCATATTTCTAACTTACAAAATGCATTAGATCTGCTAAGGCTCTCCATATATTGATTACCGCGATGTCACTGAGTTCAAAAAACGTCGTTATTAAAAATTCATATGCGGTCACTACTCAATCTTAATATCAAATGTGTAATTTTTGTGGAGAGTCAGTAAACTGCACCAGCCAATCGTAGACGGCTTAAGAATATTGAAACCTTTGATATAACAGACTGCAGCAAAGACATGAACCATAAATAGCAGGAAATAATGACAATTACTACGTTTCTCCTATTTGTTTATGCTCCTTTTTTCACAGTTACTTTCTAATTTTCCTACCCACATTCTACGATTATCACTTTCACTGCATTGAAAACTGCCAAATCACCGATCATTTCGTCTGCACGCACAGCTGTTGGCGTAAAGCAATTAATAATTTGAAACTTATATGCCATACACATATGTGCGCTCCCGCAGAGTACGGTCGCCCCACTTTGCCTCCCTGCTGCTAAATTTGCTGACGCCCATATTTTCAATATAAATTTCATTTACGAAAATATTGCAATCTTTTTTGCTCTTTGCCAGTTTTCAAATGCCGTTACAGTGATGCATTAGCGTTGCAGGAACACACCCATACTCGCAATCGCCGTGCAAACCACAAAATTGCGGCTGTTGCATTTTGGTGTTGCCAACCGCGGTCATCACGTGATCATGTATTGGTGTGAACTCCAGCTGTGCCTTTGAACCAAAAATCGCTGTCAAAAGGCAGCCGTGGCCGAAGAGCAGCACAGGTAGGCGTCACAATACACAAAAATGCCAAGCAATGCAATACAGCGCACGCACACGCACAAACATGCAGTCCACACGTACTGCGGTTGTGCATCATTTGCGCCAGCTGAGTGTGCGCCCACATCCTTTTAAATAAATTTTACTTTTGTCTTTTCACTTAATATGATTTTCTATTTGTGCCAGCTTTTCAATTTTTTCTGCTTTACCTTTGCACTGCAAACAAATGCGCAACAATGCGTGTGCCTGTGTGCGTGTGAGGCAGTTACTCGCTCCATCACTGACCTTTAACAATTAAAATTGACGTGTGCCTCTGCCGCATTGTGGTTTAAAGCGATTTTTTCCTTATTCTCACCTTTTCAAACACCCTGAAAAAGGCAAATTTTGCGACAACAGCAACAGTGCAACATTATTTGTTTTATTGTTTGTTGGCCATTTACTGAGAAATTACAAACATATTTCGTTTTGAATTCTTTCAATCCCACGGTTATTCGGCACTGGGTAACAGTTCCAAATATTTTAAAATATTTGAAATATTCGTACTTTTTTGTTGTTCTAGTTGCTCACATTTCAATGGAAGCAACCAATTGAAGTTGGTTTGTTTTCAAAATATACAAAAGAATGACCATACAAATTGTAGTTCAAAGCATTTCAGCATATTGTTGATGCACGTGAGCCTTGGCTGGAGGGTGAGTAGGCAAAATTTAGGAATTCGAACAAAAGCCGTAGGACAAATGTCAAATTTTAAATCGATTATCGGTTTGAATGTGACTATTTATGTTTGGAATTGAATAATGAAAGATTTTTTTATTGCTTTAGACATATATTTTCTATATCTACGTCGCTTTTGTGATTCCTACTTACTTGCACTTACTGCGCCAGAACAACTTATTTTCTAATGCACGTTATTAGCATTTGTTCTATAACTATAAAATGTTAGTTCCGATACAAACCAAAAAGCATTTTCATCCAATGCCTGAAAAAAAAACTGTATGAGAAAAATTCAATCGTGAATATTATATGTATAATGCTTTGAGTTCTGATTGAAGACGTGTAGCTAGGCAGACCACAGGTTAGTTCACACCTGGTCACTAAGATGGAAATCATACTTAAAAAACTGAAGTCCTTTGTGATGACGTTAAAAATGCTTGAATCTAAACTCTCATGTCTCGAAAAAGCGGCTTGAACCGGCTTATATAAGGACTCCAGTTCTTCTTGGAAACGTGGAGCTAAAAGACGCCAACCTAGATCATATCGAAGATATTCACGAGTCGAAGCACGATTCTGGGCACTTTAGATCAGGTTAGGTTCTGGCACTGCGCTCCGAAAGGGAGATTGCACTTTGACAACTGAAATGAGGAGCCTTACAATCTCGAATAAATCTTGAATCTGAAGCTAAACCATACTGCATCGACAAAGCTACTTGAACCAACCAAAAATCTAGTGGACTAAGTTTGAATGTTTGAGAAAAGCTGCACAGTCGAGAAGATGGCGTTGACATGATTCTAACTCGTTATCTTTCAAACACAGATGATGTTTAAAACCCCTACAATAATTCAGGCTTATCATCTTTATCATAATAAGGCATTAGTTTCTGTTATTATTTATTATGATTCATCCCATGATTCATCCTATACATTTTGTAGAAAAGCTTTATTAGAGCTTTTAATTTGGTCTTATTAACTTGTTGCCAAAATTAGTTACGCCAAACTTAATGTAATTACTAAATTACGCGAAAAATTATGAAATTTCCTATAAAAAAGCGTCACAGCAACACAAATCGTACAGTTTGCTTTCAGCTTCAATTCAATTCGGTCAGAACATGCAGTTTATTTTATTTTGTTTGCTATTCGCGCTTTTTTTGGCTGCGCAGGTGAATATATTAGATATTCCAAGGCATGGATGCATATAAAATAGTTTATTAAAAATATTTAACTTCACCTTTAACAGGCGCAGAAGACCGCATTGGAATTAATGGATGTCTGCAACAAGGAGAGTGGCGTCACTGCAGTGGAGTTAAAGCAATACTTTGACAGTCAAATGGATCCTGCTAAGGCCACCAATGCCATTAAGTGTCACATGAAGTGTGTTAGCGAAAATTTGGGTTTCTATAAGAATAATATGCTTGACGAATCGTTGACGGCTAAACACTTGAAGGAAAATAATCTGGACCAGAATGCCAGTATGGAAGCTATAAAACAGAGCATACAGAAATGCAATCAAATGAAAGGTGTCAATCCTTGCGATACAGCCTACCAGATTATGACATGTTTTAAGTCACAGCCAATTTTTACCTGAGAGCTGTAAGAGAGTTGTCAAATTTTATTGAAATAAATGAATAAACTCAGCATGTTATGTGTTGTTGTAAAGAACAAGCACACTTTTTTAAGTTTTCAGTTTTTAAAAGTTTAGCTTAAATGCCAATAAAACAGCATATGACACAAGAAAGTTCGAGTTTTTTGACAAACTAATGTCAAAGTGTTATATTTTGAATATATGTATTGTATATAGAATTCCTACAGGAATAACTGCCCTACAGCTAGCCAAGGCTTAACTGAGACTAACACAGCTATTCCTGTAAGAAATTCTGCATATCAATGTTAACAGCTGTCAAAACAAACACATGTCTTTTATATTTATATAGAGTGTATTTTAATTTATTACCAAAACTCGCGTTATACCAAAGACTGCGCGTACTAAATAGACCTGTCCAGACTCTCTTACAGCGAGAAAAAGTTACTCTGTGTTGCTGTTTGCATGTAGAAATCATTATGAGTCCATAAAATTATTTTTTCAAATTTAACAAGATTTTTATCGATGATAAGTTATGTACGTGGTTTGTTCAAAAAGTATCACGAACTTTGAATTTTCGCGGGCTACGTGTATCGCATATTCACCGATATCTACTCACCTATTATCGTAAGTGCATTATACCTAGGGTTGATTACTTTGAAGGGTACAAAATAGATATTCATAAATAAATACTTTCTCGTATCGCCAATTATTTGACGACTTTTCGTACAATACCCTGATATCACTATGTTTAAGTATTAAATGGCTTCAACCCATTCATTCATTGGTGTATACAATACCCTCAACAAGGCAGTGAAAACTTGGAATATTTCTGGTCTTCGAACAGATAGACTTTTTGAGGCAACCAATATATCGAATTGATTAGCTAGTCGCTTTTACACACACATAACAAAGAAAATCATGATCAGACATTGTTGTTGTAAGATAAGATGTGAAAATAGTTTGCAAAAAGTTGTATCGTATTGTATTGTATAGGTCTGACTAAAATGCTTCGAAATATAGTTCAAACGATTGAAGAAATCCATTATAACCCTGTTTTCAATAATCTACTCGTATATAAAAGTAATTATAAAGAAAGAGAAATAAATAACCACGCACTGCATACTTTGAGTACATTAATAACTCTCAAGAAATTATCATCAACATACAAAAATAGCAAACCTTAAATATTTTTAAAGATTTCACTAAAGAATAATTGTAAGACATTAAAATTTTATTTTAATAGAAAACCTCATTTTGAACTCTTGGAAAATTATACGTGAACACAACAAATGAACGAGGTTTCGGTGCACAACGATTCATTTTACGTCACAATAACGCTCATTAAAATTCATTTAATAATAATATTATATATTACGATAATTAGTTAGTATTTATTACATAACCATAACGTTTCGTTGCAATTTCGTCAAAAATTTAGTTATGTATACCAATTAGATTTTTAACAATTATCTATACTATAGCATGTCAATAGTACTTCAATAGTTGTCAATATAAATTGGTTGCAGGTAAAAAATTAGCAAATTAGTACACATTATAGCTAATTAGCCGGCAAAATCTATCATAATGGACAAATTATATAACAATTACTAAGGCAAATTTCGGCTTAATTTTTAATTGAAACCAACAAAATTATTATAACAAAATGTAAGCACAATTATTTTTGAAAAAGTGTCAGCAAATGAAACGTGAAAGCAGACTATTTAGACCATGACATTTTAATAAAAAAAATAAATAAAAATAAAAGTTGCAATTATTGGATTATAAATGGATCTACGGCGCTTTAGGCATTTCAGTAACATTTCAAATTCTATTTCAGCAACAATCTATTTCAAAATGGTGTTTTTGATGGTGAGAAGGCCTTTACAGAATTTATAAAAAGCCCAGAAAATAAGGGGCAAGAAGCCGGAATCAAAGAAGCAATAAATGTTTGCAAAACTGAGAAGGGCGCCAATGATTGTGATACCGCTTTTAAAATTACCATGTGTCTTCACGAATTTAAATCACGTAATCAGTAATTTTAACAAAATTTTATATTTTACTTGCAGAGTAAGAAATAAAAATTAAAATATAAATGAAGTAAGCAAATGTTATGATGGTACTGAGCTTACATAATTGTTTAAGAAAGCGACGTTGTCAAAGCTTGTATGCATATTGGCAGACAGTTATTATATACCTCATGTCCTTAAACTCACATAGTTCTAGCGTTTAGATCTTAGCTTAAGCGGTCTAATTCGGTCATGCGACAATTTTCTAAGAAATTGAGAAGATTTGTTCTTAACTAAGCTAAAAAAATAAACAAAAGTATGCTAAATACTCGTCGTACCCGATTTCCATCGAAAATTCCTCGAGTGAGTAGATCGCGCTACAGCTGCACTGATTTAACTTGTAATGACTGGGTAACATAAGGTTTTTATATAAACGTTTTTTGAAAATACTAGCACTAAGAAATCATTTTATCAGCAAACAAGGCTCTTCCATGAATTCTAATAGAGCGCAGAAGTCCTCAACTAACTCACGCTTTAGACATCAAAAAATGTTGACAAGTAATGCTAATGTTCTCACTAATTAAAACCAGCTTTTTGGCTTGGAAAACATGACTCCAAAAACAAAAAAAAAAACAAGAAACAACAAAAACATGAATAGTCAAATATAGTAGATATGTCCTAGTGACAATAAGTGGACACAATGGTAATCATTTGTCAAATCTAATAGTGATTTTGGGTAAAGTGAAAGACAGCAGAGGCATGTAAAAAACTCGAAGAAGCAAGCACTAAGTATCAAGATAATTGTAGAAACTTCAGTGTCACTTAGAAAGGTCAATACGATATGATGGCTGCTTATAGAGGAGCTGGTCTCATTTTAAGGGGGAGCGCATGTGCATGGGCCAAGAAAAGACAATCCTTTTTAACAATTCCAAAGAAAATGACAAGCGATCTAAAGAATTTTCATTAATAAATCAAAATTGTTTTGTCGTCGACACGGCGACGCACAAGTGGAACTGTCACAACTTACATAAGACATAAATATGTGTGAGTGGCAGGGTAGCCGATAAGCAAAACATGCTTTGACTTCTTTTCCATAACACTACAACGCGAGTTAAGCATTTACAAGTGCGCGCTTAAAGAAGGGCTATTGTTTTGTTAGAGCTGCAAGTGTATTCCAGCATTGCAGGAGATGCGCCACATAAATCACACCCAAATTTCGTTTGTATGTAAATAAATATATGATAGTTAGAAGACAACAAATGAGCAGGGCGCGTAGCATGCAACATGACACAAGCGAATACAGGAGGGTTACGCTAGCAAGTGCATGAGTTCAATGAACGCGCAACATCAGCAGGTTGACAAAATCACAGGAAGACGCCGAGGAAGGGCTAGCAAATAAAAAATGACAGACGGTAGTTTCGGAAAGTTGAATTTACTGAGAAATTCAAATTTTCAACTTTGCACACGCTTATGCTGCTGGCGGTCACATTTCAACGCGGCCACAAATGACAGTTTTTATAAATTTCGGCGTACTCAAGTAGCCGGTAGCCAACAGCCGTTTCAAAGTGAAGGCATTAAGTGCACTAACGGAAAAAATTTGCAACAAATAGCAAGCGATACCAAGCATAGTGGCAGCCAGTAGGTAGGGCCGCTCAAATAGCAGCAACACTGGTAGTTTCAGTGGCAACTGTCAATTTGCATATAAAAGTACGCTTACGTCTCACCAAATACTCAATATGCGCGTCAACTCATCATCATCATCAGCCATCATGTGAACCTTGTTGGTATGCAAAGAAAGCAACGCAAAGCACAAGATAAAATTCAAAATGTTTTTTTTTTGTCAAAGTAGCATTGGTTTTGAATACGAAATGGAGTATAAAAGACGTTGCAAGCTTGTGGGAGCTGCAGATTTCGCAAGAAAAAGAAAAATAGTTTCATTTTTTTTCAGCTTGAAACTGATGCGCTGCGCTGGAGATAGCGCCAATAGCCGCTGACGCGCCGTAAGATGCAGATGCAGATACAGATGGTGATGACGAGCTGACGACGACGGCGGCGATGGCGTTGAACTTGAAAGTTGAAAATGGAAATGTGCCAGGCAAAGCCAAATGACAGGCCAAGTGCACTTGATCCCTCTACCAAAGTCATATGTATGACAGGCTGACTGCCTGCTAGGCTTGGCGTACCGATAGATGGTTCTGGATGCTGTTTGTTTGACTGCAGACCTGTGTAAAGCGAGGATAGTAGTATAGCTTGGTTGAGGCTTTTTGCCTGGCTTTGCCATGCAACCTTTTTTGTCGCGTCTTCCATTTGATTCCTCCTTAGTTAACAATATGCTCCAGCCAATTTGAATATTGTCGTCATTGTTAGTTAGTTAGTTGTACCGTATATACTAGCATACAAATACCTTAGGTATGCCATGCCTACCCTAGGCGCTTGGCATAGCATTCAACGGTATTGCGTTGAAAACTCGTGCACCACGCATACTGGCAATGATGAAATGCAGTCAAGTTGAAAAGTGTCACTTGAGTTATGGGTTCATTGTTTTTGCTATTTTTTGTTTTCTTTATTACATGGCGCGCTTTGAGTATTTGCAAAAGCTTCGGAGGCCTACAGTAGTGTTTTGGTAGTCGATATTGCGCTGTGCGCTTTTACTTCTCTTGCCTGACTTTTGTCATCTTCTTTCATTTTGTTTCACTTTACCAAAGGATGGGCTTTTTATTTATTAATATGCACTTGCCTATCGGTTGAACTTTTCAAATCAAGCCGTTTCGATTGACAGCCGCCACAAAAAAGCCACTCAAAGCGAATTCGTTTGAAACCAGGAAGTTGCAGAAAATATAAATAATGAGCAAGTCGGTTGCCACGCCAATACTTAGCTTGATGATGCTTGAATTTTTATGCTCTTCAGAAACTACTTTATCTCAACAAAAAAAGGGAAAATTCTAAGAAAAAATTTTAAAACCGTTTCAATTTGATCAGTGTATTTATTTTTCGAAAAAGTAGTTTAAGCAAAAGAATCAAAGAGTTTAATTAAAACTATGATTTGT